GATAACAGGATTAGGAATAACGAAATTTCAATTTTTATTTTACGACAGAAGGTGCCGTGGACCCAAGACGTGTACATACAAATGGGAAAAACCAAAATTATCAAAAACTTCTGAAATATTGGCATGTGGAAGGCATGGAACAATCTTAGGCGCAGCTGTGCAAGGCCCTTCTCTCCCAAAACGCGTTTCTTTAGCTGGCAGCCGCTGCCTCAATGCGTGTCCACGTTCTCTCTCAAAAAAACGTTCAAGCGGTATTTTCCCTCTAAGCGAGTATCACTTGTACATCAACTGTCAGCAAGGCGAAAATAAGCCTTAAAAAAGTACGAGTGAATCAAGGGATCTGCAGTTTTAGCTGAAGCGCAGCATGGCTAAAATTCTAAAATATTTCACTTCCTGATACTTGATTCTGTTGCTGTGGAAAATTCCCAGTATGCTGTCCTTACAAAAGTCATCCACAACCACCTACGCCAAGTGGCGGCTTTCAAAGCATTATAAGCTAAAATATTGGAAAATAAAAAATATACCGTAGGAACTGGTCGGCAAGAGCTTTCGGGCTTTCTGCGACGCCATCCATCGGATAAGGCTGATCAATGATCGAGAAGCGCTTACCCTTTTCTCGCACATCTCCTAAAAACAACAGCATTCATTCAAAAAAGTCTTTGTATGCTGAACTGAAACTGTGAACGAAGCGAATATAATTTGTTTGATGTTTGATATCAATCTGTGTACCGAACAAGAAACTCGTAAAATGGGCCATCAGTCTCAGACTTTTAGCTGTAATACAAAAACCGTCCGGAAAATTCGGATGCGAGGAGCGGGGTGGGAACCCACGTCAGTGATATTACTGGGCTGCTCCTACAGCTATGCGACAATTTTTACCGCCAACATATTAATCTATCTGTTTAACACTACAGGAGAGCATGGGAACTAGTTAACAAAACGCAGGAATAATTAAAAGTTACCCGAATCTTCATCGTCTTGAAGATTGAAAAGAATGGAAGGAATAATTTTGTCCATATGTTCCTTCTCCCAAATGCTTGTCTGCAGCGGGTCGGTGGCCGATTTCCACATAACACCTGTAAGCATAATTTTTGACTTACCAAACAAAAAGTTCAGGGGAACCTCCCTCTTCACTGCTTGCAGGCCCCGCCAAATATTATTTCAGGGATCTGGAAGGCAGCCTAACTTTGCAGGCTCAAAATGCTTGACATATGCAGGACCAGAACAACAAAAATTCAAAAACGGACCTCGCAAGCCACGTAAGCCAGCATATCGCACATCCTTTGCATTCTGGCTGCTGCTATTGGCATGGCACATTGAGGCAAATTTGGAAATGAAAAAGTCATATTCGCGGTGGTACGCTGGGGTATTCTCTTCGATGTTCGCGAAGTTCACAAATGAATCCGTTGCCAATTTCTAAAAAAAAATCGCGTTCGTTAATCAAAAGCAAACTTACTTGCCTCCGATGATTTGTACTACCCGTTCAGCAAACATATGCTTGCGAACCTTTCCATCTAATGCCTTTCAGTCTGTCTGGTATACTCGAAAATATTCAAAAAGTGCGATTTTCGCCATTTTCATTAATGAAAGGGAACAACGCAGAGCGCAGCTCAAACTTGGTTTCGCCCAATTCGCTTGGAATTTCTCAAAATAACAAAAATACAATAATTGTTAAAAAGCACCGGAATCCTAATTCCACATAAACGACTTTCGACTTCCAAGAAAGCCTCAATATTTTTCCAAACAGCCGATACTACTGAGTACTTCGAAACACTTAACCTGAGTAACTTGCCTGGCTTCTGCTGCTTCATTCAAAGCTCCCATCAATACAAATCCGTTGCAATAACTTTTCACGATCGTTGTGATTTAAAACTGATGGCCAACTCACCTCCATCTGGAAATCATTTGTTTCCAGCAATTTCTGTAGCATCCTAAGGAAGTGCCCAATGAACTGATTCAAGCTTGAGAGGTCGTGACAACTCTGCAACAGCTGATCCATCGCTTCCACCGATATCTGAAGCTGGCAAAATCCTTTGGCATTGTCCATAAAGCATATTTAGTAACGAACAATTAAAATGTT